GGTTGGCTTGGTGTGTCAGGGCCTTATACATCAGGTCTGTCATGTCTTTTTGTACTTCCGGAATGCCAGCATGCTCTCTAAAATTACACTCTGGGGTGGCATCATGACTGTAAAAAACAAGGGGTCTTCACTGGAGCTGTATCACTGGATATCTGTGTAAAAAGAGCTTATATTTGTATGACTCAAAGACATACACAAAGAAACACTCAGCCTGTGATACACACACACACACACACACAAACAAACACAGAAACAACATCAAACATCCGTCATCACCTGCCCAGTCATGCAGCTCGCCAGCTAACTATCCATCTGTTAATGTACTCATCCATCCATCAATCAATCCGCCCTCCCTCCATCTTCTGTCCATTTTTTCCCCCTGCTTTTGGCCCAAAGTCTGTGCACTTACAAGTACATCAGTCTGACTGCCAAGCCACATATCCATCCATTAATGAGACCCTCCTTTCATCCATCCATCCATGAGGGCTCTCCATTTGTTTTGTCGACAAGTAAAACAAATAAAACAATAGGTTTCATCTTGCTGGACCACAGAAGTTGTTGAAAAAATGTATATATAACATTGTACCATCTTCTTCCGTCCTCTGTGCACAATCTGTGTGTGAATTGCCTATTTCCTATTTACTTGTGTTGTGAAAATTGAATGGACCTAATGTGGCACACTCTTACGTGGTGACTCATTCCCCTGGACAAATAAAAACAAAACAACATATTCAATTTTAAACAGATTTCATCTTTTCATTTCCTTTCACTGAACAAAAGCACAATTTGAGCAGATAGTCACATCTAATCGACAGGCGCTCAGTTAAAAAAAAAATACTTCTAAAGCAAGTGCAGACAGAAAAAGGAATATTTTAATATCCACAATGTTATAATATTCTGTGGGAATATTAAGATAACAACCCACAAATCTTTACATATCTGTCATCCAGCATCTTAGTCGCTGTTAAACGCCTTCTCAGGTCCAAACCTATCCCTACTGAAATGCTGTAAAGTAAACAAAAAGGAATATTTAATACTCCCCTGTGAGAGTTTGGATGATAAGTTGAAATATCCCCAAGTAACATTAGGGAGAAAAGTACAAACATTCAGAGTGCGACGTATGAAAGTAAGTGTAAAATATTCTGAATAAATGTTTGGAAGATGACTCAAAGGACTGATAGCACACTGAAAGTTCAGCAGCACTCTGAAGTCACAGCAGGCAGGAGACAAAAATCTCCTAAATTTCAAGATTTCAAAGGTTTTATTTGTCACATGCTCACTGAATAAGTGCAATGAAATGCAGACTGGCACACAATAAGATGCAAGTTTTCCGGAAAGCGGCTCGGCTAAAAACAACAAGCCTTACCTTCTGGTGCAAGCCACATTTTGGCCTTTGCTGTGGCCCAAAAACTGACATTCATAGAAAAGATTGGGTTCATTTTGAGCCAGAGCATCTGCAGATTAATTCCATACCTGATTCGTTATGATCCACTAAAGTTAGGCACAATAGAAGATGGATAAGTCAACTCTTCGCCGCCATCTTGACTGTAAGGGAGCCAGAAGGGACAATTCCACCAGACACAGCTGCCACATGTTTGAACTGTCTATCCATCCATCCATCCGTCCATCCATCCATCCATCCATCAGGCCAAGCAAAGCAGCCCAGATGTCCCTCTCCCCAGCAACGCTTTCCAGCTCCTCCTGGGGGACCCCAAGGTGTTCCCAGGCCAGATGAGATATGGAATTCCTCCAGTGTGTTCTGGGTCTGCCCCAGGGCCTCCTACCAGTGGGACGTGCCCAGAACACCTCAAACAGGTGGCGCCCAGGAGGCATCCTGATCAGATGCCCGAACCACATTAACTAGCCCCTTTTGACGCAGAGGAACAGCGGCTCTACTCCAAGCTCCCTCCAGATGTCCAAAACACCTTACCCTATCTCTAAGGCTGAGCCCAGACAACCCCCCTTCGAGCTGTGCCCTGTTTTTTCAGTCTGATGCACGGTGTTACATCACATGGGAAGCGTTTAAGAAGTGAGTGTTTTGCGTACCCGATTTTGCAGACTTGCAGAATTTGGTAATTTGGACATTTTTCCTTGATATTTGTGCTTCTACCAAAAGTACCTAATTAGGCGGAGTAGTTAAATGTTTTCTTTTTGTCCATTTTAGTTGTGTTTATTGTTGTTGTTGTTTCCTGCTTTGCTGTGCTGAAACCTACCGACAAAGTAAATGCCATTTAAAGTCAAGTTCTGAACGACATTGATCAAAGATTTGTGGCATCTTAGTCATTTAAAATAAATGTATCCTCATAATTGTACTTTAACTATATCTCATTTAACATTGACAGAATTCCGTGACGCACATGTAGCCGAAAAAGCTCCTACACTCTACTGGAAATGAGTGGACCCCATCTGCAGCTCTGCAACAGGTTAAGTCAACCCTTACACAACAGAACATTGTTGGACATGTGCAACAAAGAAGAGGAAGCCTTGGCCTTAGAAAGAGCAGACCATCATCGTACAAGGCAACTCCATCTCAAAGTCTTGTGGTTGAGGAGGTGCACTGGCAAGAGCAGGCAATGAGGTGCACAACAAGGACAGTGGATGAGATGAAAGGGAGTTGAGGGGAGAAGGTTCTCTTGGAGGGAGTTGTGGGACATGTAAGCATCTCAAACAAGCTTCATAATACAAGCCACCTACAATGTCCTGCCATCTCTGAGGAACCTTAACCAATGGTACGGCAAAGACCCTACGTGGCCTCTCTGTCCATCTCCAGAAAAACTTAAACACATTCTGGTTGGCTTCAAGACTTGTCTTTACTAACCTCAGAACAGACCTCGTGCTTTGGTCCACCTCACTGCGCTTCATCTTCATCCTTTAGCTCTTTTAGGGAGGATGCTGCGGAGGAGGGCTATGAACACAAGGGGCCTTATGTACGCTGAGCTGGCAGCCAACGTTGAGCGACGTGGCTGTAAAGCGAAGTTTTACCCAGTGGAAGTTGGCTGCAGAGGTTTAATGGGCAAGTAAACTACCAGGCTGCGTAAAGACATGGGAATTTGAGGCCAAGCCCAATGTCAGGCCATCAAAATCCTCACCAGTGCTGCCAAACAGGCAAGCCAGTGGTTCTGGATTAAGAAGAGAAAAACCACTTGGACTCGACGGTAGCGGGAGTAAAAGCAGTGGGGGGCGAAACTGGGACACCAGATGTTGTGATGAGCCCTCTGGGCAGCAAAGGACAGTCCCCACCTGATGGACTCAATGGGGCTTTTAATCCAATCTTAACCTAATGGGTCCCACTCGGAAACCCTCACATGACATTAGCACACCCTCTCATAGTCTCAAGTATGTGCAACAACAAGGGATTGTTTCACCAAGCCCTAAACTGAATTCATACAGTGCCTGTTAGCAGAACTCAACCTGCTCTGTGCAACACACTGCGGCCCCTCACAAATAGACATTATGCATATTTTTATAGCTTCTGGATGGTTCTGATATGAGCTGCGGCGTGCCTGCTGGGAATTATGAGAATTGTCTTAAGTGGCTGGGACGCGGCACTCTACTGAGCGCACTTTTCTAGTACATACGGCAATTACTGTCCATCACAAATGCACATTACTCTATTTCATATACATTATATTCCACTCCTATATATTCACGTCTGCACTATTTTATGCCTTGATTGTCATTTTTCAGCATTTTCTTTTAATACATACTTGCAGGCAAATTGTTAGAGGCAGCCTCAGATCTGAGATTTTCACTGCCAAGAACTGCTTCACTGTAATTTTTGTGTATATGACAATGAATAAATTGAAATATGCAAATGTACAAGGTGTTCAGTTCAAAGTACTGACAGACGACTGTACTGGACGAGGGCGAAGATAACTTTCAGCACATCAATCCACCTGCTACTTAGCAGGTCTATACCTGCTGTACATGTTGAAATGATGCTGTGTTCAGAACAAGTGTCCTACCTTATTTTAAACTGTATTTTGACACATCCATTAGGTGTGACAACATAAATATTTAATGGGTTTTCACATGTTTGTTGAGGTTGTGTTTCTTATTCTGCCTCTCCTTTCAATCACTCAGTGTGACCACAATTAAACAGCCTGTTTGTTCGTCACCACGTGTCAAGTAGAGTGAAACACCAAATTATTGTAGGTGTAGCCACCAAACACATATGCGTTGCACCAGCTTTAATTATATACTTGCCGTAAATTACTTTAACCAGAGATGACAGGTTTCAGGGCAGGAATGGTGTGTAACTTCACTTCCAACTTCGCTCAGTGAGCTGTTAATTTCCCCGGGCAGACCGCCAAACTGTAATCAATATAGTGGGAATAATGTGTTCCTCCCTTCCATCTTCTTCTACTCGCTTCAATTTGTTCTCATTAAAGACGATCCATCCTGCGTCTTCTCTTTTGTTCACTTTGTGTTGATTTCTCCTGTTTCACTTCATGTCATCTGGGTACATGATCATTTAAAGCTCACAAGAACATTCTGACACTTTTTCCACCTGGCTGCTCGTAGATCAATGATCCAGGAATTCAAGTGTATTCTCAAATAAATATAAAACGCATCTACACAACACCTGAAAGGCCCAAGGCATCACCATGTAATCGCCCCCCAGCATGACATGAGTCTGCCCAGGGCCTCCTACCAGTGGGACATGCCAGGGACATCTCTAACGGGAGGCGCCCAGGAGGCATCCTGATTAGATGGCCAAACCACCTCAACTGACGCCTTTCGACATGAAGGAGCAGTGGCTCTACTCTGAGCTCCCTCCGGATGTCCGAGCTCCTCACCCTATCTCTAAGGCTGAGCCCAGACACCCCAGACGAAGCTCATTTCGGCCACTTGTATCTGCAAACCTCATTCTTTCGGTCACTACCCGGAGCTCATGACCATAGGTGAGGGTTGGGACGTAGATGGACCAGTAAACTGAAAATTTCACCTTCCGGCTCAGTTTGATGACCATGTCAAAGTAAAGCAAACGGTGTACTTACGTTGGCCCCAGCGACCCGTGCGAGGGTTCAGGTAGTTTGGGTACAGCCCGTTGGGTCTGTCCATTTTGGCTAGCAGCTTCCGGATGTGCATCACCTTAAATCAACATCAGACATAAAAGGTTATAGAAACCAGAGCATATTTCTCTTGAAAAATGGTAAATCTTCCTCGTGTTTTTAATAACCTCCAACAAGGAGGTTATGTTTACAGTTTGTTTTGACTGTCAGTGGGATTACAGAAAGCAGATGCAAATCACTGATTTTTCACTTTTATTAAAATTGAGAGATCGGGTATTTGGCCTTGGCGAAGGTCTACGCTCTCCGAGTGCCCCTCTACTTTTGTACTGTGTCTTGCTCAATTAATTTAACCACTTCTTTTATTGTGCTGTTTACTTTTAGTATACAGAATATCACCTTTCTGTGTTTTGATGCAACTTTCTCTAATTTAAAGTACAAGACAGTGCACTTAGAGAGCACAGATCTCCGCCAAGGCCAGTGGTCCACTCTTCTATGGTATGCAAACAGGGACAATACAAAGCAGAGAGAAGATGCAGACATGCATACCCAATATGAAACCAATTATTACCTTCTGGTAGTAGGCAGGGTTTCCTGTCAGGTAGGTAAGGTGGACAAACTCCATGTGAAGAGTCCCAAACTCAGCCAAGATGCTGCTGCCTGCCGACGCCCAACCCCAGTTACGACCAACACCGCTGGAAGAGAAGGAGGAAGAGGAGAAGATGACAGTGAGGAGATCATAATAACAATAATAATACTAAAACCAAACCATAAATCATAAAATCAAGTAAGATACAACATATTAAAAGAGTTGCAGCAGCGTGAAGCCTAAAAGGAAAGATTTTCTGACCTGTATCAGGAAAGTCAGAGCTAGTTAAATGCTGAAGCGAACAGATATGTTGTTAGCTTTCTTTTAAAAAATATTTAGCGAGCTAGCTTCCCTGGTATCTATAGGTAGTGTGTTCCATAGATTTGGGGTGTCACTGACAAAGGCTGCATCCCTGATTTTCTCCTGGCTGTTGCTACTGTAGGACCTCCAATAAACCAGCAGCAGATGATCGCAGTGCTCTTGGAGGCAAATAGTTAACAAGGGAGTCAGCAATGTAGCTCAGTCCCAGCCCATGTAAGGCTTTGTATACAAGGAGGAGGAGCTTAAAATCAATTCTACATGTAACAGGAAGTCACTGCAGAGCAGCTCAGACTGGCCTGATGTGCTCTCTCCTCTTGGTTCTGGTTAACAGCCGAGCTGCAGAGTTTTGAATGAGCTGAAGTCTCTCAGTGGTGTTAATTGGAAGGCCTGTAAAAAGGGCATTACAATAGTCGAGTCAGCTTGAAATAAAAGCATGAATCAATTTCTCGGCATCTCTAACATTTAGAAATGGTTGTACCTCAGCTATGTTTCTGAGGTGGAAATATGATGTTTTCAACACCTTGTTAATGTGGGACTTGAAGCTCAGATCTGAGTGAAGGATCACACCAAGGCTTGTAACCTCAGATTTAATCCAGGGAGCTAAATTTCCCAGATTCTTAAGCAGCATTTCTCTTTTTGTTTGAGATGAAAGTGGTGATGAGAGGGAGAAGGCAAGAGGAGAACAGAGTTGGTTGTGGAGGGTGAGAAACAGATGTGATGGAGAGCAAGACAATAAGGAGGAGAGAGGAAGGTGGACAAAGAAACAACAATTCTACAAACCCAATATAAAAAGAGTAATAAAGGCTGTAACTGTCCCATAGACAGATGATGGGTGGATAAATAGATGACTTATGTCAGGTTGTGAGATTTCTAGCCTGAAATAGGGTCTTTCTGTGCTGAAATTAAATTTAAAAAAAAGCACCAACTACGAGCCTCTAGCATCTAAAACTGAGTAAATAGTGAAATGAAGAAGAAAGATCAAAAACAGGAATCTTGATAACTGCAATTTTAAGTCATCTGTGGTTTGATTTTCTAATAAATAATTCACAGAAAACTGAATCGCTGTAAATAATAATGTCTGAACAGGGATTTAAACATCACAGCAACTGTAATTCTCCCTAAATGTAAGACATTAAGATACTAGTGCACTTTTCCTGGCTGGACTCCTCATCTTTACAACACCATCAAACCAGAAAACATAACTTTCAGTCTAGTGAAACACACACACACTCAGTGTTGGTGTTGGACTGACTGCAACAGGTTCAGCACCAGTTCAGTAGAACGTCTCGGTCACATTTACACGGGACCATATGTGGCGCAGAAGGCATCTGGAACTGGTTTAATATTAAATGAGTGCATGTAACATTAATGGGCTGCAACCTGTGTGTGAGGAGGAAGTTTCTGTCATTGTCTGAACAAGCTAAAAAAGAGAGCGATATGTTGTATGGGTGTGTATTTAGACTAAATTTCTGTCCCTGCCATTATTCTTCTGGTATTTGTGTGTGTAGTTGCATTTTCTTGGGTGTTTTTGTTTGTTCGTCTTTTGGGAGACTGACAGGAAATCCCCACTTGAAGCCAGATGTGAGCAGAGTGTAAGCGTCCTGTCATCCAGTCCAAAAATGTCTCAGCCGTCTGTCAGCTGCAGCTCCTGGGGAGCTGAGTGGACGACACTAACCTGCCTTCACTAAATTGACAGCAGAAATTTACTGACCCAAAATAGTTTTCACGTCGGCTCTGTGGGAAGAAATCAGCCGTCGTTTCATGTATTGATTCATTGATTTTATTTCTCCGCCCACCGCAGTGAGTGAGAGGAATAACTCACAGCTCACAGAAAGAAGGAGAGCTTTGATCAATCAATGTAGATACAGTTAATAAGTTCACGACACATACACAGTGGAATATTTGTGGGATTTTAAAGGGATACTTTGGAGAATTTTAACCAGCCTTGTATCATATCAATATGGGTAGAATGTGTGAATGAACTCTGGGGTAAACGTCCCTCCAGCTAACCAGCACCCAGATCTCCCTGCTCATCTACCAGGTGGATTTTCACCAACTCAAGGGCTGTTGCTTGGACTACAGATTGAAATGCTGCATTGTCGTGTGAAGAATTTTCCTAGTCGACCAATAGTCGTCATTGAGGGCCATTAGTCGACTGGTCGCCCGCATGTTTGATATCAATTTAATGATTAAATGATATATTTTGGTGGTTTGAGTTGAAGGTGTGAGAAAGAATAGTATCAGTAACATTGTTAACACTGTGCTACATTACAGAGAAATACAAAACCGTACTAATGAACCTTCATTAATATAGGCCTATACTATACCACTTTGGATTTCCTGCCCGACATGTTATTAACTAGCCTGTGGAATAAAAGCAGGTACCAGCCCTGGAAATTAAGCTGACTCCTGTCTGACTGCTGAGCGTGGACACTTCCTGTGTCTGTCCTTTCAAATTAAATTCACACATGGTCCAGTCATATAGGTTTGCTTTAATTTGACAAGGCGCAGCTCTAATAGAGTTTGCGACTAAGCGACCAATGAAATCTTGCTGACTAATGACCTTTCTGGTCGACTAACATTTGGTCAACTATTGGGGGGCAGCCTTAGCTACATCACCCACCAGCAGGAGCATTTATTGATCCGGTGCAGCACAGTGCATTCTGGTAGATGTAGGTTGCGTACCTCATGAGCAAATACCACAGTCCTTTTTCCTTTCTTTTCTCTGACCATGTAGCACCAGTGTCAAAAGTATTTGTGTCTTTTTACTGTATAGACATCCTAGTTTCATGAAAAGACCATCAGTGAAATACTCATGCTCAAATAATCAGCTGTCTACACAAATTATGCTTCACTAAACTTGACAAAAATAGACTTTAAGTGTAAAAAAAATCTTGGTTGTCTCCATGAGACCTGTCTTCATGGATTTAATAAAATGGAGGCATATCTGGTCTGTGAGACGGGCGAGTTATGGATGTCTAAAACACTTCTAAAAATGCCTTTAGTTTGGACTGGCCATAAGACAAAACTTAAAAGTGTCTGCTCTCTTACGAATATGTCTTAATAGAGGCACTCTTGTAAAAAACACCTCTTCAACAAGGAGACCAGCGAGAAATGGAGGGAGATACAAAGTACACACACAGTAATGCTATGGTAATGTTAGACTTGAGGCTGAGGCTACAACAGGAAACTTGACCATTGTTACAAACCGCAGGTCAACAGGGTGACTACAGGTTTCTACAAGTTTAATTTAACACTCCTCTAACACTGTTTTTCTGCTTCTTATTAAATTGATTCAATGCTTCTCAGGTTGAAGTTGACTGAAGCGACGCTGGGAAAAACACAAGGGCACCAGATTATATAATGACCAGTGATGAAATTGAGAGCACAGTTTGTACACACCCACACAGTCCTGTGAAGAGGTCTAATCAGGCTACAAAAGTCCAAACACCTGTGTGGGCAGACTGAATTTAAAAAGACATCTGGAGATGAGTTGCTGCAGTATAGTAACATGAAGAATGTATCTGCGAGGGACTCTGAGTAACAGCCATTTATGAGGCAGATATACATTGTATTTTACAATATACGGTATTTAAATTTTCACTTGAAACAGTATTTGTACACAGTGGTATCAGCATTTTCTCTCAAGTAAAAGATCTGAATACTTCCTCCACCACTGCACCTGAGTCAGGAGTTCCTCTCAGATCTACAAATACCCCTTTTTGACAGTTATGTGCTGGCTTGGTTTGGTTTGGTTTGGTTTGGGCCGTCAGCCCAGCACTGCAGGGATTTGTGTCTCCATTACAACAGGGCTACCTACTTGAAGTTGTGTCTTTAACTGATGACAACTTGTCTTGAGAGATGACGTTTAAATCGGAGTGCTGCTCCATGGCTAAAGTCCCCTGTTATTTTTGCTGCATGTGTTTTAATTTACCTGTTGGAGGTGAGCTGTTTGCAGAGGTGCAGTAAGAGCCTGTTGTCTGTAGCTCTTCATCAACATCTCACTGTGGCTGTTTCTGATTTCACTTTCCTCCCTGCTGTATTATTAGTCTTGTCTTTATTGAAGAAAAGCCGCTAACAAAGTTCAGCTAATTCAGTAATAACACATTTAATTTCCTGTAGACTCTTCACAATAAAAATCCCCCACTATTTTATTATGTAATACCTTTTATTGTGAAGCAGCAAAATAAGGAAATATTGAGTTTTCTAGCAGCAACTTCGCACAACTTCTAATACGGTGGATAGTGAACATGAAACAGTAAAATAAAGCAGATATCTAAAGCTTGTTTGAAGTGGAACGAACAGGTACATTACTTTAGTCACTGTCACTGGCGCATGCCGCTGCCAGGGGAAGAATATTGACAATTAAGCTCTAACCTGCAACCTGGAGAGTCCTGTGAGATGGAGTCAAATCTTCAAATTGTTATACATTTTCGGCCAAATTGCAGGTTTATAGCAGATGCAGTCAGCTATTAACCGCCTGTATCTGGTGAGTTAGACTACTGCTAAAGAGACAGGTATTTTCTCAGATGTTTGTAGACTTACAATCATCAGGTGGACACAAACATGACTCCATATGAATGATAATGTTTCTCTGAATCTGCTGGATGTGTAAGTCTACAACTGCTTGCTAACAAGCTTGCCGTTTCAATATAAGATGCTGTAATGTCAGTGTTGTGTTCACAGTCTCCACTGCCCCAAAGTGACCAACAAATCTATTATTGTGGGTATAAAATTTACTAATATACAGTGAGACATTTTTTGTCTTTAGGAAGAAACAGTAAAGAAGAAAAAGGCTGAAACTGACAAAAACAATCTGCCCACCAAGTTGTTTAACTGTCAGTGAGGTTGAGTGGCACATCTCACTTTATATTCATCTCAGCTGCTGGATAAAGGGGGTGGATTTCAGTGTCACTGACCTCTTAAGGTTGACCATGGCCCAGGGGATTCCTGTGGGGGTGTTAAAGGCAGGAAGCAGCTTCTCTGCTAGCTGGACCGCCTTCATCTTAAATACCTGGAGAGAGAGGAGAAGAGAAAAGGAGACGGTTAACTTAAAGACTGGTTTACTTTCCTTTTAACGCATTCACCTGAAATATTCTGCAGTCCATCAACCCTCCCCTGATTAATATTCTTCTCACAGCTGACAGGTACAAGCATAAAACAACTGCCAACCACCAAAACAAATGTAGGATGAAGGCAAATAAGGCAGAGTGAGATGTCAGGAGACAAACGATTGCTAAATGATGGTCACAGAGTGTCAGAGCCGAGCAGATTTATGGAGGAGACTGGCAGACTAATATATGCAAAAACCTCCCTTCAAACTGTGCTGCAGTAATATGAAATGTTGCAGAATACCACCGAGATGTCTGGAAGAAAAGCTTGGAGGTCAAACCGCAGCGAGTGAGCAGAGCGAGATACCACAGTACACAGTCAGAGTTGGGTTTCTATTTTCGTGACTGGCGTCTAATTTATACTGAGTGAAGGAGGGAAATGGACATGTGTTCGTTTTGAGATTACACAAGTTCCTGCACTCGTCTGACAGATGAAGGATCACAAAAATCTGCTGAGGCCCTTGTTCTTTCCTCAGCGCGCCAATCAAAGAGATAAAAGCAAACTAAGGTTATTCTGCTGCTCAACTCGCTGCATACAAGCATACGCTGAAATCTGAAAATGTGACTGTAGAAAATGTAAAACTGTTGAAGACAGACAACTCAGGACGAATTAACAACAGGAAAATGCAAAATATCTACCTGCTAATATTTCACATTAAAACTATTCATACCGGCAGCAATGCAAAAAGAGCTGCAAAGATGAATCAATCAGTTGTCAACTAATAAATCAATCGCTAAATAAATTCATCAGAGATTAATCTGTAAGAAAAAAGTCTTTATTTTCTTATTCTGGCTTCTTAAATGTGATTTTTGCCCCTAGTTTCTTTACTCCTCTATGACAGTAAACTGAATATCTTTGGGTTATGGAAATTTTAAAGACATTTTTCACCATTTAGTGACATTTTATGGACCAAAAACTGATCAATTAATCTAGAAAATAATCAACCGATTAATCGAAAATGAAAATAATTGTTAGTTAATGCAAATTTCTGAGTCCTAGATGAAAATTTGCAATGGTTATTTGTTAAATAAAAGGCCAGTACAGATTTGTGGCAGCTCAATGAATCATCCAGTGGGACAATTGAGTTTCCTTTCAGCTAAATTCCCCAAGTGAATTTAAGTTTCAAATTAACATCCATCTATTTTCCTGTACCAACCGGTTTTCAGAATCTTTTATTCCCTTCTGCTATTTGTCTTTAAATTCTCTGTAAATTTTTGTTTTTCCTTACTTTTATGATAATCTGTCGACTGACTTTTATTAATTGATTCCTTTATTCCACTGAACTCCTTATTCTATTACTCATTTATTTGTGTCTACATGATACTGTATGTTATGTTATAGTATGTTTGCAAGGCAAGCTGTTCAAACAACCTGCCCCTAGTGGGATTAATAAAGTTGTCTGAAACTGAATTATCCGTAACCGCTTTTCTTATTCAGGGTCAAGGGGAGGCTGAGCAGCTCAATGCATTTAGGCATGTAGACATGATCAAGACGACCTGCTGAAGTTCAACCTGACCATCAGAATGGGGAAGAAAGGTGATTTAAGTGACTTTGAACGTGGCATGGTTGTTGGTGCCAGACGGGCTGATCTGTCAGAAATTGCTGATCTACTGTCACACACAGCCATCTCTATGGTTTACAGAGGATGGTCCAAAAAAGAGAAAATATCCAGTGAGCCAAAATGCCTTGTTGATGCCAGAGGTCAGAGGAGAATGGCCAGACTGGTTCAAGATGATAGAAAGGCAACAGGAAGTCAAATAACCACTGGTTACAACCAAGGACTGCAGAAGACCATCTCTGAACCAACAACACGTCCAGCCTTGAAGCAGATGGGCTACAGCAGCAGAAGACCACACCAGGTGTCACTCCTGTCAGCTAACAACAGGAAACTGAGGCTACAGTTCACACAGGCTCACCAAAACTGGACAATAGAAGATTGGAAAAACGCTGCCTGGTCTGATGAGTCTGGATTTCTGCTGCTACATTCAGATGGTAGGGTCAGAATTTGGCGTCATGGATCCATCCTGCCTTGTATCAACGGTTCAGGCTGCTGCTGGTGGTGTAATGGTGTGGGGGAGATTTTCTTAGTACCAACTGAGCATGGTTTAAACACCACAGCCTACCTGAGTATTGTTGCTGGCCGTGTACCTAACAAAGTGGCCACTGAGTGCAATTTTTACTGCCATTTTCATAAACAGAAAGCAGACATATACAGTACAGGCCAAAAGTTTGGACACACCTTCTCATTCAATGCGTTTTCTTTATTTTCATGACTATTTACATTGTAGATTCTCACTGAAGGCATCAAAACTATGAATGAACACATGTGGAGTTATGTACTTAACAAAAAAAGGTGAAATAACTGAAAACATGTTTTATATTCTAGTTTCTTCAAAATAGCCACCCTTTGCTCTGATTACTGCTTTGCACACTCTTGGCATTCTCTCCATGAGCTTCAAGAGGTAGTCACCTGAAATGGTTTTCCAACAGTCTTGAAGGAGTTCCCAGAGGTGTTTAGCACTTGTTGGCCCCTTTGCCTTCACTCTGCGGTCCAGCTCACCCCAAACCATCTCGATTGGGTTCAGGTCCGGTGACTGTGGAGGCCAGGTCATCTGCCGCAGCACTCCATCACTCTCCTTCTTGGTCAAATAGCCCTTACACAGCCTGGAGGTGTGTTTGGGGTCATTGTCCTGTTGAAAAATAAATGATCGTCCAACTAAACGCAAACCGGATGGGATGGCATGTCGCTGCAGGATGCTGTGGTAGCCATGCTGGTTCAGTGTGCCTTCAATTTTGAATAAATCCCCAACAGTGTCACCAGCAAAACACCCCCACACCATCACACCTCCTCCTCCATGCTTCACAGTGGGAACCAGGCATGTGGAATCCATCCGTTCACCTTTTCTGCGTCTCACAAAGACACGGCGGTTGGAACCAAAGATCTCAAATTTGGACTCATCAGACCAAAGCACAGATTTCCACTGGTCTAATGTCCATTCCTTGTGTTTCTTGGCCCAAACAAATCTCTTCTGCTTGTTGCCTCTCCTTAGCAGTGGTTTCCTAGCAGCTATTTGACCATGAAGGCCTGATTGGCGCAGTCTCCTCTTAACAGTTGTTCTAGAGATGGGTCTGCTGCTAGAACTCTGTGTGGCATTCATCTGGTCTCTGATCTGAGCTGCTGTTAACTTGCGATTTCTGAGGCTGGTGACTCGGATGAACTTATCCTCAGAAGCAGAGGTGACTCTTGGTCTTCCTTTCCTGGGTCGGTCCTCATGTGTGCCAGTTTCGTTGTAGCGCTTGATGGTTTTTGCGACTCCACTTGGGGACACATTTAAAGTTTTTGCAATTTTCCGGACTGACTGACCTTCATTTCTTAAAGTAATGATGGCCACTCGTTTTTCTTTAGTTAGCTGATTGGTTCTTGCCATAATATGAATTTTAACAGTTGTCCAATAGGGCTGTCGGCTGTGTATTAACCTGACTTCTGCACAACACAACTGATGGTCCCAACCCCATTGATAAAGCAAGAAATTCCACTAATTAACCCTGATAAGGCACACCTGTGAAGTGGAAACCATTTCAGGTGACTACCTCTTGAAGCTCATGGAGAGAATGCCAAGAGTGTGCAAAGCAGTAATCAGAGCAAAGGGTGGCTATTTTGAAGAAACTAGAATATAAAACATGTTTTCAGTTATTTCACCTTTTTTTGTTAAGTACATAACTCCACATGTGTTCATTCATAGTTTTGATGCCTTCAGTGAGAATCTACGATGTAAATAGTCATGAAAATAAAGAAAACGCATTGAATGAGAAGGTGTGTCCAAACTTTTGGCCTGTACTGTATATATATATTTTCTATCTTGCTGCCATTTCTTTGCCTGAATGTACAATCTGTGTTACTCAGGCTGAGTTTTTATGTGAGACACCTGCAGAGCGAAATAAACCCACACAAATAGGATTTTTTTTACAAAGGTGTCACATTTATGTCCAAACAAAACATGAAATCTTATTTTAAAAATCTAATTATTCACAGCATGGCTTTCAAACCTCAGAAGTAAACATGACATTCACAGCAGGACGCGTTCTGTAAGAGCTGCTTTCTGGTTTTTGACAGCTGACGAGCACACCGCAGTCACACTGATGAAAATATGTATCCCATGAGCCAGGTCCCTGAAAAAAATATCTTAATCCCCAAGTGGCGCCGAGAGACAAAAATGGAGCTGACAAATAAATACAGCAAACTGACAACAAAAATTATAATTATAACTCAGAAGAGTGTTTACCAAATCATTATAGTGACATACCACTTGATGCTTCACCTTCTTCGCTTCAGTATTGTTACACTTCAAAATAAAACTGGGTGTCAATCTCAGCTGTGTTTTTGTTGAATAATGTGAAACATCTGCTGCACTTGTGATTTAGAAATACAAAAATCTGGTGTTACTCTCTACCTAAATGAAAAAAAAAAAAAAAAAAAAAAAAACCACGGTAAAAAGCAGGATGGAGTTTTTGACTATTTGATTCAAGGGGCCTGACTCGACTGCCGATCTCATGGTCGAATCATCACAGTTGCAGGAATATATGGTCATTTTATTTAACCAGAAAAAAACTCAAGATTAGGGGCTGAAATTGTGTGAGAGGCAGGGTACACCCTGGACAGGTCACCAGACAATCACAGGGCTGACACATAGAGACAGACAACCATTCACACTCATATTCACACCTACGGACAATTTAGAGCCACCAATTAAAGCCTAGTTCACATTACACGATTTTCACTGCGATTCTGGCGATCTTGAGAGCCACCTTGGGTCGGAGGTGAGTCGGCAGATAGTCTGCCATGACGAGTCCTCATGTGTGAACAAGCCTACGAGCAAGTCGCCCCCTCCTCTGAGACTGGGA